ATTCGATGTCCTGATATTATACTCTCAATATGCATGATATTGCATATTGTTGCATAGATTCCGCTGGTTATGAATTTGTTATGAATTTGTAAATTAGTCCAGAATAACCTTTTTAGGAGTGGCTAAAAATTTATTATTATTCATGTTTGAATTTTTTAAAAGGGAATTATCGATGGTAATTGTAACAATGGAAAAAAATATTAATGATGATGACACAGATTCAGGGTTTCAAGGCTCAACTGTTTTTGATATATGTATATGCCGTRTAGAAAGCCAATTAATATTATGGAAATGAATACTAATCCTCMAAATTTTAATCAGAAATTGAGAAAAAAATTGAATATGAGGAGTGTCTTGTAAGATAAAATAGAATGAAACAATGCGCATATCTATCTGACCAGTAAAGAGACCAAGCAGAAAAAATTTGTCCGTCTGTCAATTACAATTCAACTTCTATTTGACTGTACTCAACAATATTCGGGGAATTGTTTGTCAACGGTGATAGACGCCGGTCTATCACCGTTGTGGTCCTGGTTCGATTCCCGGTCCGGGACTATATGTGATTTGAGTTTGTATAGGCTGGTTCTCTTCCTTGCTCCGAGGGTTTTTCTCCAGGTTCGCTGGTTTTCCTCACTCAGTCAAAAACTAGCTGCGAGGAGTGTCGTGTAGTAAAATAGTGAATGTTGAGGTAGTGAGTGTAAGTGAATATATACAGGGCCAAAAGTTTATTATTCTAGAGACTATCACGTGCTACTCTCTCAAAATAAAAGACTTTACTTATTTTATTTTAATTGACAGCTAGTTGTTAGCTAGAGAGAACCGTCAATCTGACAACACCAGGGTGGGCGCTGAAGGRAACTTGTAAGAATCAATGATTTTAGACTGGTCGTAGTTTCGACTGCTGTGTATCTATAGTCCGTATCAATTTGGCAGGAGGAGTCGACGGGTTCCTGGGAGAAATATATCTGTTCTTATGTCCCAGCCAACTGTAAGTCACAACTGTTTGCCAGCGAGAAATTCAGGAAAAAAGAACTCTCCAGACAAGGAATACTTTCTAAGAATTTTTGTCAGGAAAATAAAAATTTCATAACTAAAAAAATGTAAGGTTTTTTGACCATAAAAACGTTATATAAGCATTTTTGCCAGAAACAAAATTATTTTAAAGAACATTTGCTCGTGAGATTATAAGCAATGTAGCTCAAACTCTTTCCCAGGAAAAAAATCGCACAAGAACACTTGTTTAGAAGAACAGATCCGTCGGCTCCTCCTGACAGTTGTAGGCAAAATTTGCAACGTCTAAATCGGCTTTTATGCTTAAAATTGTTTTCGACCATAAAAATATACTAATTATCAGGTTTGCATGTACTTCCCAAACAGAAACCACTCTCATACTCGATGCCTTTACTTTGTAGTCACTCCGGAGCTAAACAGAGAAGTTGGAGTGCGAGGGAGTCGCGGAGAAGTGAATGCCTGTCAATTTACTCCATGAATTATTAATGAATTTGATAAGGCGTACAAAGCAATTGAAGACCAAAGCGAGCACAATTGAACATTGAAGAATAAAAACATTAATGGAGATATTTCAAAAAGAAAATTAGTGAAGATTAGGGAAAAAAATCTATGGACGAAGGAGCCATAAATATAGATTAAAAGTGTGATTTTGCGAAGACCAAATCGACGGACACATTATAGAAAAAAAAAGAAACGAAAATATAAACAAAATACGAAAAAAAGAAAGAGAGAAGAAATAAATAAAGAAAACAGAAAATTGAAAAAAAAAA